AAACAATTTTTATTGCGTTCAAAAATTACAAAATATACTGCAGCGTTCACTTGTTCTTTTATTTTAATTTTATTAATAGACATTTAATAAAATAAAATAAAGAAAGTCTATTCTATTCTAATGAAAAAATAAGGTTAATAATTTTGAATATAAAAGCATATTTTATACAAACTATTTATAATCATTAATAATATTAATCTAACCTACAAATTAAATTCTCTTTTCTGCTATAGATATCTAGGTAAGTACATAGGTATCCATATAAATTTACAATGACATGGGCACATCTTTTTAAATTTGTACATAATTGTAAAAACTTTAAACAAATAAATTTATTTACTTTAAACAAATCACAGAGCATCATAAACGTTGTATTCCGTTCACAGAGCACCGTATTCATTGAAATAGTTTTTTAATTATATTAATATCATAATCAACCCTAATTTTATATTAAACATTTATATATATTCTATGTGATTTGGGACGAAAATAAAATATCGAATTGGCAACACTGATGTCGTGTTGTGAGTCGTGACAATTTTCCCATTTTAATAAATTTAAAACCTTTTCACGACTTTCTACGTAATATTTAATATAATAAAAATATATGTAATACTGAAAATTACCAAAACAAGATAAATAATGCTGCTAATGCTGATATTTTAAAGATTGTAATATATATTAAAAACCGTTTAATTCCACGCTGTCATTTCAAAATAGATTACGTGACATTGCAACGAGGTTACTAAATCGACATTCGATAGAAATAATTTTTATCGATATGTAAAGTTGCGTTTAAATTGACAGCGTCAAATGGCGTCTATGATCGCATTATTGACAAACGTCATTTTCACTACGTTAAACGAAAATCGTAACGATATAAAAAGTACGTCAGCAACAGTATATGCAAATTATGATTATTTAGTATTTAGTATTGCTATGCTTTTTTTTATTTCTGTAGTCCATTTTTGCGCCATCTACCAGTTTCTGTCTCCCAAAGGTTGTCTTTGCTTACGAACGATACCGTCCTTTGTGCCTCGTAACAAAAAAATATATCTATTTTATACTTCAAATCTAGCAGCCATATAATATGAGCCAAGCCGCGGTTAAAAGCTAGTATATTATAAGAAAATATAATATATGGATGAATGTTTGTTACACTTTCACGCAAAAACTACTGAACGGATTTTGATAATACCTTACAGTAATGTAGTTTATACATTAGAATAATACATAAGCTATAGCTTAACAAGAAATTCTATAAATTGTACTTTATAATATATATAAAGTATGGTACAGATGAATTTGCACAGGTCAGCTAGTATAAAATAATTTAGTTATTTGATATTAAATGTAGATTATAGTTGTTATATTATACTCACCTGAGACAGGCAAATAACATACAAACATTAACGAAGTGGCGTAAATAATATCAAAGCATCACTTAGTTGTAGGTAACTGACAAATAGCTTGCGTGAATCAGTGTTATTTACATCAGAAAGTGGTTACGAGTCGTATCGATTACTCATTTACCACTCGCCATTATCGGCCAATCGAGACACTGGCTAATAATCGGGGGTTTTTACCCCAACACTAATTCGGTTATTCGGCTGAACTCGATTAAATGTTAGCAAATGCACCTGTCGCTTCCAGCTCATTTCAAATATATTTTGGCATTCGAATAGGCGTGGGAACGATATATCGATAGTTTATATCGATAGTTACGTAATCTTGTAATGAGATCGATTCCGTGTGTCTTAAAATTACACAGGTTTTTTTTTAATGATTACATATGCTATGTATGTAAATATGAAGACGAGACCGGCTAATGTGTAATAAAATACGAACTAAAATTGTAATAAGCACTTTATAGACGACCGGTTTATCAGCTTTTACCTCTAATTATCATTAATGTATGTAGATATTTATCTCATGAAATTGTTTCGTGGATTGTCGTGTGTTTTATATATTAACAAATTATTAGTAGTTTTAACGTGGCTATAAAATATTTTTAGATACAAAATAAAAAGAGTTGTAGCATAGACAAAGTGCTAGTTACTTTTTCTCTATGGTTAATAACTTAATAGTGATTGACTGACAGGCTTATCATACATATACGCAGCCAGCATAGTATAATGTTGACTGTATAATTTTTAACTATTTATTATGTGTCGTGGATAAAATTCTTTTTTTCTTTTTTTTTTTAAAGCAACCATAATTTTCATTTTACTTCGAAGTGCCCTTTGACATTATAAGAACACTGCCATACGAGCAAAGCTATTTAAATTATATAATAATATGTTTCCTTAAAGCCTTTTTTTTAGATATCTTATATATAAAATTCTCATGTCACAAAATTAGTTACCATACTCCTCCGAAACGGCTGGACAAATTGTTATTCAAATCAATCAATTGTTTTATATGCTTATTCAGTAGGTCTGAGAATGGTCTACCTTCATACCCCTATGTGATACGGGTTGTCCACCAATATTTTTTTATTATTTGGATAATATTTATTTTTCCATTTTTTATAATGTGACATTAAAAATAAATAAATTTTCCTTCTACCATCAACCCCTATTTTTACACGCGATTTTAATTTATATGGCAAAACAACGTTTGCAGGGACAGCTAGTACATTATATAAATTTTCATACATAAAATTATCGATAAAAATTGCTAAAAATATATCGATATGATAATAAACATGGGTACAATCTCTATCTGCGTAACCATAATGGTCATTTCTGTAATAGCATGTCGGACAATGCATGCGAATGGAACCCGCGGGTTCGGTGCTGGGGGGAGCGTAGGGTGCGCAAGGGCAGCCTCGTGCCCTTCACCGTAGGTCACCTTGCTTGCAGGTACATGCGCGTGCGCCTATTGTGCGCGCAACCTGACACCAAAATGTAACCTACAATAAAAACATTCCACATTTAATCCTTACACCACACAAAATAGAGTACACATTTGTATAGCTACTCTAAACTTCTTATACTGTATTGGATTAAAATTCTAACGAGTTCCAATTTCGGTTTTGAATTTTTAAAAACCAATTGCACTTTATAGGTGAGCGTGACAGGATAATTTAGGAAAGGTAGAGTCGTATCGCCTTTTTTGTTAGCCGTACTCATGCGAAGTGTCTGTTATTGTTTTTTGCTGGCCTTACGTTTTTTGCGACGCTTTGTTTCGTTGTAATTATTTTAATACGCGTAATAGGCAACGAGGGGTAATAATATAAGTGTTTATGATTCGGTTCTGGTATAATTACGTGCGTCTATGACCCGATCATTGTATTTGAATGTCTATAAATAAGTTATACGTTATTGACACGTAATTTTTATTCCAAAACGTATGTAGTTACTTACCGATTTACTCTGAATAAAGATATTTGGTATTTTTTTTTTTATAATTAATCAACGGTCTTATCAAAACACAGATTAAATTATAATAACTACAGTTTACAAACTTGATATCCTCGATGGTCTAGCGGGTTAAGATACCGTCTCACTTCTGATAGTCGCGAGTTCGATACCTAAGTGCGATACCTAACACGGTGCAAACATTTTTATTCCTGAGTATGTTTGTTTGTATCGGTCTGGGTCTTTATACATATATATATTATGTATGTATTCTCAAAACATCTGTCTATGTATTTGTATCAGTTGTCCAGTATCCAACGCAAGCTCTGCTTAGTTTAGGACCAGATGGCGCTGTGTTATTTGTCCTGAGATGTTATTATTATAAGCAAACTACTTAGCGACTCAAATAGGATAGATCCACGCACATGATCTTAAAGTCTTAGTGAATCATAATTCATAAGAACAAAGCCGCATGCTGCAGCCAGTTATTTCACAAAATCAAAACGCTAATACTGCAACCAATTAAACTCAAATTGGCATTATTCAGTGCAGTTTTCTCACGAAGCTGTTCCTTTTAGAATGGAATTGACTGCAAAAAGACAACACTTATTCCTCAGAACCGATGAGTCGCAGAGGCGTACGATTTTCCTGCAGTAAGCTCTTTCGATGCGCTTTCTTCGTGGAATAGCCAATATGAGTCACGCTTCGCTGGCCAATGAAAGTCGTCTGCGTTACATTTTCCCCGTTTTTTATAACAATTTTCTATATATATATATATACATATAGTCCTTCTAGCTAAATGGGCTATCTGAAACTCAAAGAATTTTCAAAATCGGAGTACTAATACTGGTTCACGTCTCCTTTTTCTAATATTAGGAACTTTTAACTTGTATTTGGGTCTAAACTTTTATTTAGGTCGTAAAGTTATACTTTTCTATTATTTATATATATACAAATAAATAAAATTTAAGTGTCTGTCTGTAATTTTAAATAATTTGCTTTTCACTAGATGCATACGAATGTATATACGGTGTTAAAGTATGTATATATACAAAAAATACACATTTTTGTGTCCGATTCTGACGACGGCTCCACAGATTTTGCACTTTGCAGCTTCGCCGAAGGATAGATAAGTGCAGATGGCACATCAAACCCGCGGAGGGACTTATGGAGCGGTGGAAAGCCAACTCCTCCATGACGGATGTGACTTTTATCTGAGGGCACAGCTATTAATTACGTCGTAATTTGAATCCCCGTTTGAATTGGACATCCCCTCTAGCGTATCTTGTACAAGTAATAAAATAATTAACATCGGGAACTCAATAAAAATAAAACGTAGTAAGATCCAGTGATTTTTACTAATTGTACCTATAATTTTAAGGATTTAATTTTTATAAATGTCCGCGTAAATAATTATTATAATATATTACTTATAATTTTTTTAAATAATGATTTACTTAATTATATCTTGTAGAATAAGATAAAACTCGTCCAACGTAGCATTTGTGGGAAATAAACGATTTAAAGATTTACGTATAATTTAAAAATATGTATATTCACTCCACTTATACTCGTTAATGCGTTTATATTATACATATAAATACAATTAAAGCAGGATATTTATTGTTTGTTCCGCAGGAGTCCTCGCCAACATTGACGATATTATCCTTCAAGGTAAGTTGAATGCCAAAAAAAAAAGAGCAGTATATCATGCTATCATTGCCATCGCTTTACTGGTAAAAACAATCAAATATCCTGTATTTTTTTTTTATTTAGAGAACGCATTGAGAGTATACTGTGGAGTTATAAATGTTAAACATAATGTTATACAAAGTAAGAATTATTTGCAATGTATTTATATAAGTTATATATAATTTGTATAACATTATACATGTATAAAGGATTTGTGAGTGGATAATGCATGAATTAGAAGCATTCATCATTCGACATTGCTATAAATGTGTAAAGTATATTAAAGTAGTATTGGTATTTGCGTACATGTGAAATTTTCCGTGTTTTTATTACTCTAGCGACCTCTGTTTATAAAAATATTCTGAGTCATGCATCTAAATATTGTTTAGTACAATACAATACAATAGAATAAGTCTTTGTCTATACGTAAATAGACTTGGTTGAGAGCAATTAACAATATATTTTATAAGTGCTGCAATTTTTTTTTAATAAAAAGGCAGGCTTTCTTCGTATATATTTAAAATACGAAGAACACGTTTAAAATAAAACATATTTTTATTTAATGACACAACACTTTCGTGCTAAAATAATTGCATTTAGTTTTTAATAAAAAATATTTTGTTTTTTAAAATGGACGTTTACACAACAAATAAAAAATATTTTGTTTTAAGGACACAACACTAGAAGATTGTTTCTCTCCAGAGCCTGCTAAAATCATAAAATATCTGTTTTTTATATAATGCTAAATTAGTGAAAAATATCAAACACATTTTGAATATCGAAAAATCAATGAATGTCCATTGTTCGATTTTCAAAATATGTTTGATGGATGGACAAAATGTGATTGGTGGATTGTTTGAATTTCAATTTTTATTTTTTAATCCGAACAAAGTACATAAACCAAACATCTTTATTTTGGTGTTTTAAAAAGTTATCTCTATTAATTTTGTATCTGTAGAAACGTTAAAAAAAAGCTTTGTTTATTTTGATGTCCCTAAAAGCAGTATAATATACTGCTATCTGAATGTAACGCGTCAGAACTGGTCGCTAAATGACATTAAGTAGGTACATGTCATTCTGAATTATTATGAGCGAAATATATCACTTTTGTTAACAGCTCTTATCTTTAAATCCGGAACCCAAGTTTAATTAGAATTCTGTCCGTTCCATCTTATATGAAATTATATTTAAACGTATCTCCTAATTCGTAGATGCAGTACTTAAAGCGAATGACAGTAGCACATATACCTACATGTAATAAAAAAGATCACGTGTTTAGTGGACGGCCCCATGTCCATTAAACACGTGATCTTTTTTTGAAGTTGGTACAAGATGGCTCTGTGTGAATTATTCTAAGATAATATTATCTATATATCTAATTAGCATACTAGATTCTACCCGTGACTTTATCCGTGTAATCATGTTGACTGATACAAAAAGAAATCTATAAAGTTTTCCATCTCAAAAGTTATCTATATTCGAAAAATGTTGACTCTACTAGAGTCATCATTATTCGAGAGTAGTATGTTGGTCCAAAAATGAAAAGACAAAATAGATGACAATACAGCCGAATGTTTCATAATCTACACATATAAATAAAATTGGAGTGTCTGTTTGTAATATTGAAATAATCGATTTTTACTACACGCATATGAATATAAATACCAAAATAACATTTTTTACAAATTTTGTCTGTCTGTTTGTTCCGGCTAATCTCTGAAATGGATGAACCGATTTTGACGGAACTTTTTTTGGCAGGCAGCTGATGTAATAAGAAGTAACTTAGGCTACTTTTGTTTTAGAAAAATAAAGTTAAATTCCACGCATAGTCGCGGGAGTAGCTAGTTGATAAAATAAATCCATAAACATAGGGAACCCGTACTATAAAATTTGATTCAATGATAAGAAACTTAAATAAGAAATGTATCATTCACAAATGTACAGTTAGATGCGTATATCACAAGCTGATGATGGTCCAAATTTATTCTAATTAAACTGGTCGCCATGCTTCATGGCCTTCGGGGATTCTCGTAGGCGTTAAACTCGTATATATTTATTTTCTGTCATAAAATATTATACTAGTTTATATCGTGGCTTTGTGTGATTATGATTGACAGAGAATTAAACTAACCTATATCGGTTCCTACTCATACTAAACTGTATTGAATTTCGTAACAACAAAACTCATATCCACCTTTACAATATCGTAGTGATTAAACTCGTATATATATTTTTTTACATAAAATATGACTGTTTTCCCCGTGATAGCGTGATTACGATTGATAGGAAATTAAACTAACCTATATCGGTTCCTACTCATACTAAACTGTATTGAATTTCGTAACAACAAAACTCATATTCGTCTTTACAATCTCATAGGCGTTAAACTCGTATATATTAATTTTCTGTCATAAAATATTACACTCTCTATACCAATTGTATTGAATTTCGTTTTTTCTTTACAATCTCATAGGCGTTAAACTCGTATATATTAATTTTCTGTCATAAAATATTACACTGTTTTTTACCGTCACTTTGCGTGGTTAAGATTGACAGGGAGTTAGAGTAACCTATATCTTTCTATACCGATTGTATTGAATTTCGTAACAACAAAACTCATATTTGCCTTTACAATTTCATAGGCGGTAAACTCGTATATATTTATTTTCTAATTACTGCTGTTACCCGTGACTTTGCGTATTTATGATTGACAGGGAAATAAAAGTAAGGCTACATATATATTTCTCTACCTATAATACCATATGCTTTATGTTTTTTTTTTTGTTATAACTATGTTACTTAGTTTCTGATCTGATTGCAGACAATAAACAGACAAAAACAAATTATATTTTTATATACAATGAAAAAAATAGAAACATTCTGGCGGCATCTAGTACGGGAAATAGACTAGTTGCCACTTAACGTAATTTTTTATAGTACAGGAGACAAACGATTTAGAAGCTCGCCTGATGGTAAATGATTACCGCCGCCCATGAGCACCCGCAACACCAGGGGAATTGCAAGTGCGTCATATTGTTTGGCAGTCCAATTAAATAAAAAAACCAGTAATCAAACAAATTCCTAATCAGCCGATCACTATGCATGTGATTATGCAAATGAGTTCATTGTGATCATATACCAGCCACTCCTCTTAATTATGATATGAATCAAAACTACATATGTAGGTTTAGTTCATTAATATGAAGCTCCATTGACCCGATTCATTCATGTTCTGATGAAGAATGGACTCCTAAAACGCATCAGCTTACTTTTTTTTATACCACGATGGCGGCAATCGGTTTATTTCCGGTCGTGGGTTCAATTCCTCGCACGGTATAAATATTTTTGTATTCATGACTATGATTGTCTGGATGCTTTCTATGTATATTAAGAATACATTTACAAAAAAAAATGTGTCTATATATTTATATCAAATACAAGGAACGGTTGATCCATCACCCTAATAAACTTGCTCGAGAACTTTCTATAGAACAGCATGTGAGACGATTAAAACGCCATCATATCCTGGAGCTACAAGATCGGCAGTAGCTCTAGGCTGCAGAAGAGTAGAAGTTTCCAATGGGAAGCCACTCTACATGACAGCATCATAGAACAAATTCCCTTAGAGTCCTGAGACTGATCGGAATTATTCAGTTCCCATAACGCAAGCTCTCTTTACCTTAGGACTAGATGACGCTGAGTAAGTTGTAAAAATATGTCTCTTTGAATTCGACACACTAATATATCAATAAATATTTTCTATGTCTATTAAGAATATATTTAAAATAAAAAAATATATCTATATATTTATATCAGTTATATTAGAGGATAATATATTATATTTAAGAAAGGTGTTACATATGAATGTGGATGGTTATAAGGGCAGAGGAAGGCCGAAAAAGAGATGAATGGACTGTGAGAAAGATGATATGGTAAGAAAGGAAGTAAATAACGCGATGACTGCGTACAGGAATGAATGGAAGAGAAAAACATATTACGACCACAAATAAATGGGATAAGGAAGAAGCAGATGATGATATTTATATCAGTTGTCCAGTTCCCATAAAACAAGCTCTCTTTACCCTAGAACTAGATGGCGCTGAGTAAGTTGTAAAAAATGTCTCTCAATTAATATTGCAACACATTAAACAATAAATTCAAGGAAAATCTTTGTCGATCTCTTTAGAGATGTGACGTCAGCGTACAAAAATCCCAATTGCAATTACTCACCGCGCCGGTTGGGATCAACAATCATATGCTATGTAACAAGTAAGTAAACGGCGGGTCAAGTATCCGGATTGTATGTTACTCATACATCCCTGCAGGCTGCTAGGAAACATACGTAACTATATTTGGAACGATAACGCGGTATAGGCGGTTTATTTTCGTTTCGGTATAGAGCGTGACATATGGTTAATAAAAGAAGTGTAATGAGACGACTCGCTTGGCTGTCATTTAATTAGTATGTATACATATATTTTATTAGTATACATATGTCATTTAATTATACATATATATAATTTATAGGTACATACATAATAATGAATGTGTACCGAAATAAAAATGAAATGAACATGGCCTGACCCGGTCAAAAAAACGCCATTTTAATAATCTTTTTTGTCATACAGAAATACATTCTTTTTTTATGAGATGATTCAACTTATTTATTTACATAGGCTTCTTATACAAGTCATAATTTTTATCACTATCCCTACGACCAGTACCACTAACTACTTTAGTTAATAATAATTGGCCAAAAACTCTACAATATGATATAAGGACTATATTATAGAGAGAAAGTTGTCTCTGTGTTAAGAGAACAAAAGTGACTAAATCTGGTCTAAATAATAAATATAATACTAATGCTAAACTCTTAAAACGAGTAGCGGCTGCTAAACTTAGTACATTGCTTTTAACTGGACCTTTGTATTACTTATAAACAAGAACCTAGCGATTTTATATATTCTATTTTAATTGAGAAG